AAGCTGGGAAGAATGGGAGAATTAGATTCCTGTCGAGGCAGCTCAGGATGAGAACCTCTGGGGTCTGCGGCTTGGGCCTGGCTACTCTTTGAACCTGTGATAGTAGCCCCCAGGGCATCTGGTAGGATTCTAGGGTCACATCTGGGGAGAAGCCAAGGACAAGGACAGCTCTCCATTTTATAATGAAGTCACTGCTCCGACATCGAGCTTCGTATTATGATTGAGTCATCTGGACGAGGGGAAAGAACATATCAATTTTGCTATGGACGTTCATTTATGCAAGTCAGCTTACCATACCTATGTGCTTCATTAAGATGGAGGGGGGGTAGGGGGTAGGGATAGTAAGGGGAAACAAGGAGGAGGCAACAATGCTTGATAAGAAATGTACTCATTACCTTGCTTATGTAATTGTAACCCTTCTGTATGGTATTTTCACAATAAAAAAACTTAATAATAATAAAAAAAACAGACAAGAAGTGTAACCCTCCATTCTGCGAGGCTGCCATTCCTCTGCCGATAAATTAGGATACTTAAGCAAGGGGAAACAACAATGCTGTGGTTTTTGTTACCAAAATCTACCTTCCCTACCCTCCCCTTAGCTTTTCAGCCATCAGTTCTGGCCCTGCCTTGGCTGGTGAATTATAATCTGTTAAAAAGAGAGTCTTTGTCTAACTTTTGGACTTCTCTCCAGTAGTTAGTCCTCAGGGACCCCAAATGTCATACTAACCATCACAACAATGTCAGAGTCATGCACAAAGCCGGATACAAATATAGACACTAGATGTAAAATCATGTTGCAATTTAGTCCTTTCTTATTTCCCTTGCAGCATGTGGCAAAGCCAGAGACTTGACATAAGTGAGATGTGATTTCTGGTAAACCAGGCAAGCTGAAAGACAGGATAAACAGCTCTTCCTTAAAATCATGAATACTGATAAGGAGGTAGCTTTCCACTAACACTGTCCCAAAGCATGACTTTCTTTAATTTCAGAAGGAAATGCTGGCATTAAATACGTATTGTATTTCTATAAACTCCATTGTATAATGATAAGAGAAATAAATGTAAAGTTTATAAATGAATCAAGCAAAATTTATCAATATATCAACAGATGTTTTACTGTGTATATTTGTGCCTGGAGCACTGAATTTATGCTTGTTTTCATGGAACTGGCTTTTAAAAATAAAAATCATTTCCACCATATCGAAAAACCCTCAAGAAGTATTTTTTTAATTGCATGAAAAAAATAACTGGCACAAAAGCAATGGAACCAATCACAAAGGAAAAGACAGACTGACTACTTGATATATAAACTTATTTCTCAAAGCATAAGCTGATCAGATGATAAACAACAAGGTGCGATATAAATATATTTATGTCTACATATCTTATAAGTTCATACTGAGGAAAATGTCTTGGTGTATTATCATGAGGTTGTATCATAGCAAACATGGAGAATGAGGACACATACAAAATTTCAGCTACCTGGTAGACATTGGAAGGATCAAAGTTCAAGGCTAGATTAGAGGGTAAAACAATGGAGAAAACCTACATCTCAATAACCAAACTGGACATGTTGCTTCACAACTGTAATTACAAGTATATAGAAGGCCATAAGTAGGAGGGTTTAAGTTTGAAGTCATCCCCAGGCAAAAATGCTATACATTGTCTGAAAAATAAATCAAACAAAGGGCTGAGAATTTGACTCAAGTGGTAGAGTTCTTGTCTAGTAAACATGAGGCCCTGAGTTTAGACCCCAGTAAGTACCACAAAAAAGAAAAGAAAATCCCAGTAGAAACAGGATTCATAGATGTGAAAATCATAAATAAGAATTTAAGTAGCTTACTTCCATACTTTTAAAACACATCGCAGTAACATTTTTTTAAATATCTGACAAAAATGAACCTCAGTAATTAATTCAAGAAATGAAAATTAAACCAACAATGAAAGAAAGACAATGTGAACCAGGACATGTTTTATGAGAACAGAGAAACAAACAACACATTCTTGCTTTCTTCAAAGTAAGGAGAGAAAACAGATTTCCTCTCTGTCTTCCAAGTACCACAACAAAATAAGAGGGAAAATACATGTCAATAAAGAACTGAAGCCAGGCGCCGGTGGCTCACGCCTGTAATCCTAGCTACTCAGGGGGCTGAGATCTGAGGATCGTGGTTCAAAGCCAGCCTGGGCAGGAAAGTCTGTGAGACTCTTATCTCCAATAAACCACCAGAAAACCAGAAGTGGTGCTGTGGCTCAAGTGGTAGAGCTCTAACCTTGAGCTGAAGAGCTGAGGGACAGCGCGCAGGCCCAGAGTTCAAGCCTCACAACAAAATAAAATAAAATAATAAAAATAATTGCTTGAGTTTAGATAGCTGATTTTCATACCTTTGGTCAAAACCTCATGTGCTTATTACTTCAGATAGAAAGGCAGGAGATACAGAGTCAGTGTGGGCCGTGATGAGAACAGCTCTGGATGTACATTTACTTAAACCTGGTTCTCCTCTCTGCCATTCCTGTATTCTTTCCTCTTCTCAATGAGTAGAGCACTTTTAAGGATTCAGCCTAACTCAGAATCACAGAATCTCAGTGTCTACAAAAGTGTTATTTTATATAGTGTGACACATCAGCAAAGTTTAATTTTTCACTCATCTTTCTAGTTTCTGAATGAGGCAGAAAGGGGAAAAAAAATCCTCTCAGAACTGAGGAAGAAAACTTGAGACCTAACGGTCTGTAACTTTTTCTGATGCTCTACTGCCCAGGGCCTGGTCAATGTACCCTAACAGTCTTCTGAGAGGCTGAGAGGTAAGTCACTGGAGCAGGCTAGGATGCTCACGTTTCAGGTTTAGATCTGGGCAAGCTGACCTCCACAATGTTAATTAGCTCCAAGTCTGAGATGTGGCCAACATGGATTAGTTGTTTCTAAAATAATCTAGTCATGAAACTTGTTAGGGGAGGGTGTGGCCTAGCAGAACTCAGCCTTTTGAACGGGCTCCTACACCTCTGCATTGGATCTGCCCTCTCTAACCTGACCGGTGCCTGATCAGGCAGAGAACAGTAGCAACTTTTTCTCACCTGGCAGGTTCCTGCCTGCCTTCTGACCATACCTGGTCCAATGCCTACTTGTCTCCTGAATTAAAAAAAGAATTAAGCCAGGTGCTGGTGGCTCATAATCCCAGCTACTCAGAGGCTGAGATCTGAGGATAGCAGTTCAAAGTTAGAAGGAACAAGAAAAGTCTTTGAGATGTTTATCTCCAGCTAACCACCAAAAAGCCAGAAGTTGAGTTATGGCTCAAGTAGTAGAGTTCTAGCTTTTGACTATTTAACAAATGCAAATACATGTTCTTTCTTCCCCTTAGGATCTTTCAGAACTAGTCCCTTCTGGATCTTAAGAGTTCCAATGTTTATGCATTTCTGATAACCTCTTCATACAACTACTTATGATTAATTTAAGAGAAACGTTTGAAAAAGAAAAAAAAAAGCTAACCTTATGAAAACAATAAAAGAAAAAAAAGCAGCAGCCAGCATTTGAACGTGTACTGTGCTGGATCTTCTCTGCTACTAGGAACATGTGATCTCATTTAATCCTCACCATAATGCTACACCATAGCAGTCACTATTCCCACCTTACAAATGAGAAATTAGAATGGAGATCGCCTGGCTTGTTCAAGGACACTCAAAACCAAATGACTGTCCCACCGTTTGGACTCTTAAAATCAGTAATAAAGAATGTGGTCTGGATGGTGATTAACTGGCTTTTTAAATTCTGGCAAAATGGAATAGCCAACGGTCAAAATTTCCTGTGATAAATGCCATAAAAAAGCCATAACTAAGAAATACATAAATGTGGGAGAAAAGACCTTGACCCGCTTTGCAGACAAGGGAGGCTTTGTTGGTAGCAAATGGTTTTTTACTTCCCTGAAAAATACTTCAGTGTCTGGGCCCCAAGCATAAAAATACGTTTTCAGTTAATCCAACACTCCTAATGGACTTGAAAATAGTTTAAAAAACAAACTAATTCCACCTGGAATTGTAGTATGGGCTTCAGGACCTACAGATGGCTGACCAGTGTCTTAAAACTACCATGCCAGCTGAGGCCTGCTGCCCCATCCGCCCTCTCTGCGGCCTTTACTCTTCCTCCTGTCCTCTGTCCAGCCTCTCCTGTGTCATCTGCTCCTCTTTACCATTCTGGAGAACACTTCAGGCTACAGAGCTGATTTAGCAATCCTGAGCACAGAGCACAGCTTATAGACAGCTTGTACATGGAATACTGGAGAAGCTAAAAAAAAAAAAGTCTATTTCTCATTCTCAACAAGCAGAAACAACTCACCAATTAAATCAACATGTATATTACTCTAAATGTGTTACAGAATTAGAATTAAATGTGAAAGCTAGACACACCCAAATATACTGGACTAAGTTTCCCAGGATTCTATGGTAGTTCTAACAGTCTTGGAATGGAAAGTGCTTCAGGTACTATTGAGAATGAATCACAGATTATCTGACTCAGTGTGACATGGTGAAGCTCTAGCTCTACAGTCATGAAACACTGCCCGAGTGGTGTCCACAATAATCTCACAAATTCAGGTCTGGTCAAATCTGGTCAAACATAAAGCTGAACCAGGCTTATGGCTTTTCTGCCCTAGTTTTTAGCTACCTCTTAAACCCAAGTGAACTTTGTATACTTCGAACAGTTCAGATTAGGCTTCCAAAAAAAAAAAATCTCTTACTCTTCATTTAATTAGAGTCAAGTTACAACAAAACCTGTAAGATAATTTTTGGTATAACCAGAAACTTAGCTTTAGGAGGAAAACAAAATATAAGAATAGGATATGCGGTGAGACCTTGACAGTCGTTCAGGGCAAAAAGACATCTAGAAATGAATGAGTCTCACACTGTCAGATCAAGCTGAAACACAAAAAATAAATGTCTCAGCACTGCTTAGCATTCAATACTTGTGATTTTTGTTGAGCCTGTGGATTGGCCGTGTCCACGCAGGACACTTACCTCCAGAGCAAACATCCTGTCCATCATGCTTCTTGAGGAGGTGGCATCAGCAACAATGTGGACCTCGACTCCTCGGCCAACCAGCTCCAGAGCCGTTTGCTGGATGCATACGTGAGTCTTACAGGAAGGTGAAAGATCATGTATTTTACAAATGTACAACAGGGTAAGGCAGAGAGAGCAATGCAGATCTAACAACCCTCTCTACAACTTGACTTGCCTCCAATTAGCTAACTGAGTTTGAGCATAAATCAGTTTCTCTGGCTTTGGTTTATTCATCTGGAAACCAGGAATTTGATTACATCCATGTTCCTCATTTTTTTTTAACACATTCTAAATGGTTTTGTGGCAATTGATAATGATTTCTGTCTATGCCCTCTGAATGACCTTCATTTAGCTGACTACTCTGAGTTTGGGTGCCAGATCTACTTGGGGGTGATTTTTGCATGAATACCAAAGCCCAATGCACAAAAACAGAGGAGTCTGAATTAGAGAGTGAGAAAGATACAAGGCACCCAGTATCATGGCAGGCCAAGCTAGAACAACTTAACCACAGAGGTAAATGAGAAGTCCTATGTAAATGCCTGTTAATTTTTAAGTACTCTGTAAATATATAACATGGAAAGCAGAAAGATCACTACAAATCTAACACAGCTTGTTTTGGTTTAGTCAGCATAGAGAACTTTGGTATGGTCATCTAAAATCAAGAATAGGTATATACTCAATATAATAATACTGAATTATTAATAGTGTTGTTATGTTAATAGTTACTTGGACTCCCTCTTTATGACTACTAACTTATAACAATTCATTAGTAGGGAATATAAAATATAAACACACTTCTATAATAGCTAAATTATACAACCAACAAAAGCAGATTTCAAAACTGCCACAGTGCCTACTTTATCTTCAGATGTCAAAAGAGCTTTGGAGAATTACCAGATGATACCTCATTAAAATTAGCACCAGAGGACTGCTCACAGAGAGTAGATAAATAAATCAGCTGAAATCAGCACTATTAACTTTAACTGTTTGTGTATACAATTCATACTTGATGAATAATGAATTATATGTCCCTCTAGAGTTTTCCTACAAGAAACTTGTAACTAAAGTGAAATCTTATGACACATAAATAAAAATGCCTTTGGCAGTGACAATATGTTCCAAAACAATTTAATTCATAAGACTCTGGGTAAGTTCAAATCCAGCTCAATTGCTTACTAGCTGTCTGACCATGGCCAAGCTACACAGTACATGTGTATTTTAATTTCCCCATTTATAATATTAGGACACTATGGATACTCAGCTTATAGGGTTTTTGTAAGGGTTCACTGAGTTGGTATCTATAAAGTATTTACATCAGTACCATGCATGTTATCAACACCAATAAAGGTAGCCATTCCGTAATTACTTATCTCCCTACCTACCTGGCATTCTATGTACAAAACTGCATTCTGAAAACACCAAGTTTTCCACAAGTAGTATTATGCTCAAAACTTAAAGAGTAGGTACTTACTTCTACTCCAAATAATACCACACTTCTGACTCCAGGTATCTCTGCTAACGCTGCCTCTACTTCTGGTAACACCATTGAAAACTTGGTCTTTGGAAGAACCAGTTTTACACCTGTTAAGTCAATTTCTTGAACAGTACTTCCAAGACCTTTGGGGTATTGCTCTGTTACAATAACTGGAATTCCTAAAATCCGGGCTCCTTGCAACTGAAATAAAGAAAGCAAACCAAAAACAATTATCCATATACTGAATACATATGTGATTATGTATCATGCGCAGCAAATCGGAACAAATAGCCAAGCATACCAGCCTTTGTCCCACGCTGATGATATCACCAAAATACTTGATGGCTGGTCTGAACCTTTCCTGCATATCACAGCAAAAGAACACAGTGCTTGAAGGTGTAAGATTTCCCAGGGTGGTAAGCTGAGGAGAAACAGACAATACAGGGAGTTAGGTGTTGATAATTATACCAGGACGTTTACTTCCTGTCTTCCTATGTTTGACCCAGGAAGTCAATTTCTACAACTATCACTAAAAGAAATGATCTGAATTATAGAAAAAAAAATACCCACAGATATTCTCTTGCCTTGCCTTGAATACAGGAAGTTAAATTTTAACAAAATCAGAATAACATCTTTATTCTTTTTTTGGGGGGGGGGATCCAGTCGTGGGGTCTGAACTCTGGGCCTGGGCACTGTCCCTCAGCTCTTCAGCTCAAGGCTAGCACTCTACCACTTGAGCCACAGCGCCAC